AAATCCTAACCCTAGCAAACTTCAGATAATCGGACGGGTCAGATGGGAAAAAACCAAACCCTATCCGAAGTCGTATAGGGCTGCGGATCGGATGAGAAGAGAGCTGCGCATCTGGCTCACAAGCATTCAAATCGGACGGGTCAGATGGGAAAAAACCAATAGGGCTATAGATCGGATGCCTTGGTTTCAGACAATTTTGCACATGCCTATTTAATATAGGTTCATACACTTTCTCAACCTACTGAAACACAAAAGAACCAATAACACCTCCATTAAGGCTTGAACTCACGACTTTTCAAATGAAAGTCCAACCTAAATACCATTAGACCACATAGTCTTGATTATTTTATATCATTTAATTAATTTAAAAACTTATTATCGGACTAACACATAATAAACAATAAATTAACTTACAGTATAAATCTCACAATTTGATATGCATCACAAACTAACACACATTATAAATTTATCAAATACAAAATTTACAATAATCACACTTAGATAGTACGGTTAATTAATTATGATTAAATTTAACAAAATACATAATACTTGTACTACTTTACAAAAAATCAGGTGGAAAGGGGTTGTGGCCCCAGCTGTCAGACCATATTATTTTGTACTTCGTAACATTTATTACAATTACAAATCATGCAATTGTATAAAATATTTAATAAAAACTAATTATTGTCTAAAATATAATTTCATAGGTTAGAGTAGTGCTTCAAGTTCTCAATGTGCATTTAATTTAAAATTTGTGTTGGAGAATACATTCAAGGATGTTGGAGTTTTTGGAGTTTTGCCTTGCTACTTGTCCCACATTGGTTTCTTAGGGACTACTTTCCCATAATTTAAATGCCACTCCTTTTGGAGTCTTTAAAATCTTTTCAAGGGAGGGAAAGGAGAAGTCCCCGCGCGCGCCGCTGCCGCCGCCCGCCCGCTCGGCTCGGTTCGCACGCGTGTCGCGGTGGGGTCGAAGTTTTACGCGGCAATTATATTTTGTCCTACTTTTTCGCTACTCCACAGAATTATTCTTAGTCTACGCACTAATAATAAAGTCAGAGAGAATTGTGCGCGTTAGTGGGCGATTACGAACGCGATTAGCGTTCCTCTCTTTGCGTTTTTCCGTCTATTTTTTCGGTTGATTGTGGCTGATACTGGGAAGTCAGGTATTCTCACTACTATAAATACCTGTCTTCCCAGACCTCTCGAATTACACTGGAAAAATAAGCTTAAACGCTCAATTGCTACGTATCTCTAAAAGTGCAAAGAATACGTGAGCTCTTCTGTGTTAGCCAGTCGAAAGCGTCCGGGAAAAAGACCGCACAGTCTCCGGCATTAAGCTTTTAAGGCAGTGTCCTGCACACGTCACAGAATATTCCTATAATTCTATACAGCCTATAAAAAACGTAGTATCCACACATCTCTACGACATTTTTCTAAATATCCAACAGTTAAAAGCTTAATCATGAAAATGTCGTCCCTCCTATCCAAGCCCGCTGCTGAACTTACAAAAATTGAACCACTGAATGGTATCAATTACCGCAGGTGGGCAGTGAAGATGATGGTGCACTTCAAGACACACGAAGTTGATTATGTACTCACCAACGATGCAATTCCTGCTGCGGCAACTCCAACTACACCTGCTACAGATGACCTCGAGACCACATCGACGGGAGAAGCAACTCCAGATCCGAAAGCTTCTGCGACTGCGTCGGCATCTGCTGTGTCGGCGTCTGCAAAATCTTCTGAAACAACTCAAGACAGTCGAAGCAAATTCGAGCGATATAACAAAATGGTAAGGGGCATTCTACTTCAATATATGTCTGACTCACTTCTAGACATCTATGCGCCTCACAAGTCCGTGAAGGCAATCTGGGACTTGCTACAAAAGAAGTACGGGTCAGATGATGCAGGAAGGAAGAAGTACGCTGTCGCCAGTTGGTTAAACTACAAAATGGTTGATGGTAAGCCTATTATTGCTCAAGTACATGAGTTCGAAAATCTAGTTGGGGATCTGATCACCGAGGGGATTCCGGTAAGTGATACTTTACAAACTTATTCTTTGGTTGAGAAGTTACCTGAATCCTGGTCAGGATTTCAAAATAAAATGAAACATGAACCTAAACTAAGCACATGGGAAGAAATGGTGAATCACATCAACATTGAAGAGGCATTTCGCCCAAGGCAAAAATCGAATTCATTTCCTGAAAATTTAAAGGCTAATGTAATCGAAACAAGTGATAGGTCAAAACCTGCACACAATGGTCAAAATAAAAGTTGGCAGAAAGGAATGAAGGCAAACAACACCAAATGATTCAAGGCGAACAAGAATAAAAAACCAGGAAAACCAGGTGGCTGCTTTGTCTGTGGCAAGCATAGCCATCGTGCAGCACAGTGCTACCATAAGAAGGGTGGATTTGAACAAAAGGAGAACCAGGGAGGCTCAAAAAGTCAAGCAAATGTGGTGGAAGACCAAGAAGTGGTGGCAGCAGTTGTAACACTAGAAGCCAATGTGATAGAAGACTCCGAAGAGTGGATCGTGGACACTGGAGCATCGCGCCACTTCTGCTCAAATAAGAATCTTTTCAAAAGTTTTCAAGCAATTGCACGAGGACAATGTGAACAAGTTTTTATGGGCAATGATAGCATGGCTGAGGTAAGAGGTAGTGGTACCATAGAAATAAATCTATGTTCAGGAAAAAAATTGTTCTTAAACAATGTAATGTATGTACCCTCCCTGCGAAGGAACTTAGTCTCGGGACCTTTATTGGTGAGGGCCGGGATTAAGTTAGTGTTTGAGTCTGATAAAATGATAATGACTCGTAGGGGGGATTATCTGGGGAAAGGTTACATGCGTGGGGGTCTTTTTGTGTTACCTTTTATTTCAAACAAAAACACTGCAATCAACATGAATAATGTGGCCAGTGGTTCTGGCAGTTCTGCGTATATTGCGATTTCGTTTGACATGTGGCATGCTAGACTAGGACATATTGGTGTTAAATGCATGAATAGACTAAAGAATATGAACTTGCTATCTAATGTGTCAAATGAAACCATAACGCAATGTGAGACTTGTGCTGAAGCAAAGTTCATTAAGAAACCTTTTTCTTTAGTCAAGCATAACACAACATGTGCCTTAGAATTAATTCATTCTGACTTAGCAGACTTTAGAAACACAGAATCTAAAGGTGGGAAAAATACTACATATCTTTTATTGATGATTTTACTCGCTTTTGTAAAATATATCTGCTAAGAACTAAGGATGAAGCCGAAGATAAATTTGTGATTTTCAAAAATGAAGTAGAAAATCAACTGAGTATGAGAATAAAAAGATTGCGTTCAGATAGGGGAGGTGAATATGAATCTGCATCTTTTAAATCATTATGTGAAAAACATGGAATAATCCATGAAGTTACAGCCCCTTATACGCCACAACAGAATGGCGTAGCCGAGAGAAAAAACCGAACTATCAAAGAAATGATAAGTGCATTTCTGGTAAGTTCAGGTGCTCCTAATGCACTTTGGGGAGAAGCTGCACTTACAGCTAATCATATTCTAAATAGAATACCCCACAAGGGGTACGACAATACTCTGTATGAGATGTGGAAAGGATACTCCCCGAATCTGAAATACTTCAGAGTGTGGGGGTGCCTAGCGAAAGTGGGGCTACCCTCATTCAAAAGACCCAGTGTTGGGTCTAAGACTGTAGATGCAGTCTTTGTTGGGTATGCAGAGAATAGTGCAGCCTATCGGTTCATGCAGTTAGAAAACCGGGCTATATGTGAAGCCAGGGAAGCTGAGTTCTTTGAAACTATCTTTCCTTTAAAGACCCCTAATGTGAATGAATCACTTTCGCTTCCTTACTCACAAGTGGAGAGTGAGCCTGAACAACTCAGGAGGAGCAAAAGACAACGAACCGAAACAACGTTTGGGTCGGATTTTATAACGTACATAACTGAGCTGAAAGACGTAAATGAACTTTATGAACAGTTCGTGTGTCAGCTGGTTCTAGAAGAAGAACCAAAGACCTACGATGCGGCCATGCGCTCAGTTGATGCGGTATTCTGGAAAGAAGCCGTTCAAAGTGAACTAGACTCAATAAAGTCTAACCACACTTGGGAAATAGTAGAACTTCCCAAATGAGCTAAACCGATTGGTTGCAAGTGGATCTTTAAAAGGAAACTAAGACCCGATGGGTCAATAGAAATGTTTAAGGCGAGACTAGTAGCCAAGGGCTACAGACAGAAGTTTGGGGAAGACTACTTCTGTACCTACTCACCTGTGACAAAAATAGCAACAATAAGAGTGCTATTTGCGCTAGCCGCAGCGCATAAGTGGACAGTCCATCAAATGGATGTCAAAACGGCCTTCCTAAATGGAGACCTAGAAGAAGAAATCTACATGGACCAACCTCCTGGGTGTGTATAACCAGGACAAGAAAGAAAGGTCTGTAGATTAGTGAAATCCCTCTACGGATTAAAACAAGCTCCAAAACAGTGGTATGAAAAATTTCACACCACACTACTGGATCTGGGTTACGTGGTAAACAGATCAGATGCTTGTCTATACTCAAAAGAAGTTGAGTCTAGCGTGGTACTCATCTGCATCTATGTAGATGACATGCTAATCTTCAGCCCCAATGTCGAAGCAATAGAGAAGACCAAGAGGTCACTTTCTGAAAAATTTGACATGAAAGACTTGGGGAAGGCTGATGTAATACTTGGAGTAAAAGTCATACAAAGTGAAAATAACTACAAGCTATCACAAAGTCACTATACAGAAAAACTGTTAAAGAAATTTGACAGTTATGAAGTGAACCCGGCTCCAACGCCGTATGACTCCAGTATCAAACTACAAAAACACACTGGAGCAGGAGTGGCACAAGAAAATTATGCGAAATTAATAGGAAGTCTGATGTTCTTAATGAACTATACCAGACCCGACATCGCTCTTGCAGTCAATAGACTCAGTCGGTACACTCACAATCCAAGTGAGGTTCACTGGCATGCCCTGAAACGAGTACTGCGCTATTTGAGAGGCACCATTGAGTGGGGCCTGCAGTACAGTGGGTTTCCGAATGTCCTGGAGGGATATTGTGATGCAAACTGGGTCAATGACAGTGATGACGTAAGCTCCACCAGTGGGTATGTGTTTACCATGGGAGGAGCTGCTGTGTCGTGGAGATCCACGAAGCAATCATGTCTAGCCAGGTCAACAATGGAAGCTGAGTTCATAGCCCTTGACCTGGCTGGGCAAGAGGCTGAATGGCTGAGAAACCTACTGGCAGACGTGCCATTGTGGGGGAATTCTACTCCATCAGTATCTGTTCGTTGTGACTCACAAACTGCCATATGTGTAGCGAAAAACAGTTCCTACAATGGAAAGAGAAGACACATAAGGGTCAGACACGAGTCTGTAAGACAGTTAATTGTGAATGGAGTACTCACACTAGAGTATGTGAAGTCCGAGAGGAATATTGCAGATCCCCTAACAAAAGGACTAAACCGAAAAGCTATCCTTGACACGTCAAGGGAAATGGGCTTAAAATAAGAGATAAGGAATTCAAAGTGGACACCACTGTAGTGGTCAAACGAAGCCATGAAAAGACTTATGTACCTACATGGAGGACATCCTGAAGTGTTGATGTGTGAACCAGAGTTCAAAACTACCCACTTCTCAAAGAGTTCAAGACTTAGTTCACTCTTGGGAAGTAAGTTACTCAGGTCACTACGTGTCAGTTCAAGTTTACACACTGATATTAAGTTCAGCCTTCGGGATTGTACTGAAACATCCTTCTTCCACACCTCTTGAATGTGTGGGGGATTGTTGGAGAATACATTCAAGGATGTTGGAGTTTTTGGAGTTTTGCCTTGCTACTTGTCCCACATTGGTTTCTTAGGGACTACTTTCCCATAATTTAAATGCCACTCCTTTTGGAATCTTTGAAATCTTTTCAAGGGAGGGAAAGGAGAAGTCCCCGCGCGCGCCGCCGCCGCCGCCCGCCCGGCTCGGTTCGCACGCGCGTCGCGGTGTAGTGGGGTCGAAGTTTTACGAGGCAATTATATTTTGTCCTACTTTTTCGCTACTCCACAGAATTATTCTTAGTCTACGCACTAATAATAAAGTCAGAGAGAATTGTGTGCGTTAGTGGGCGATTACGAACGCGATTAGCGTTCCTCTCTTTGCGTTTTTCCGTCTATTTTTTCGGTTGATTGTGGCTGATACTGGGAAGTCAGGTATTCTCACTACTATAAATACCTGTCTTCCCAGACCTCTCGAATTACACTGGAAAAATAAGCTTAAACGCTCAATTGCTACGTATCTCTAAAAGTGCAAAGAATACGTGAGCTCTTCTGTGTTAGCCAGTTGAAAGCGTCCGGGAAAAAGACCGCACAGTCTCCGGCATTAAGCTTTTAAGGCAGTGTCCTGCACACGTCACAGAATATTCCTATAATTCTATACAGCCTATAAAAAACGTAGTATCCACACATCTCTACGACATTTTTCTAAATATCCAACAATTTGTTTCTATTATATCTGCTCCGTAGTTATATGATGGACAAATGCTATCAGATCAGCCAGCATGCATATATAGATATCGTACAGAATATTAGGGGATGTTTGGTTCATGGAAAATGGGAAAACATTTTCCTTAAAGTAGAGGAAAATGTTGTTTTCTTGTGTTTGGTTCATGGAATTCTTCAAATTTGAGGAAAACAAAATCCTTGGTTGGACCAAGGATTTTGTTTTCCATAGAAGATGGGAAGAAAAGTTGAGATGGAATGCCTATTTTACCCTTACTTTCTTTTTTAATTATATTACTCTTATTAATTTGTAGGGACATATAGGTCTTTATACTCATTATTCCTTACAATTCCAAATCTAACCAAACAATAGAATTAGTATTCCTAGTAATTCTTTTTCCACCAACCAAACAATGAAATTCATCTTCCTAGTAATTGTTTTTCCATGGAATTCCAATTCCACTTCCCTTAAAATATTTTCCGCGAACCAAACGAGCCCTTAGTTTTATTAACAGTACTCATTAATTAAGTCAACATGTGTTAGGCCGTTCATTGCACAGGCCTAGTTAAGCCGTTTTAGTATTTTATGTGGAATTATTTCTCATAATTTTTGAAAGTCTTCACTCATGATCATTTCTTCGTCTACTTGACTCAAGACGATTTTGAAATCCACCATCTTGTATTCAAGGAATCGGCTAACGACAAATATCTTTGCCTTAGCGTAATCAATCTTATACTTTAGGTCCAAAGATTCTCATAACTCTTTAGCTATTTTTAATTTACAGTATACACTGTACAACGAGTCACACAAATTGTTCAAGATGTAGTTTAGACTTTAGACATAGGAAAACAAAATATTTCCAAACCCTCACTTCGCTAATGATTTGAGCGTTAGGCGTGTTCCGTTCCACTAGGAATCATCTTGGTTAAGAACCATGACATGCCGAGAATCACCAGTTTGAACAACATTTTATGTTGTCACCCTTTGGAATTCAACTCCTTGAATTTCCACGACCTTTCGACCAATTCACTTGGTACCATTACAGGCACCTTCATCGTAGGGATATACTCTTTGATGCCATCACCTGTCTTTGAACCAAAGTTCCCCGGGGTTTCGGAATGTGCGACAACGTTGCCGCTCCGACCATTCGCAACATTCACGCTTCCACTTACAACAATTGTAGGAGCCACACACACACACACACACACACACGAAAATATATATATTAATGAAAATGTGGATCTATTTTGCGAAAAAATAATCTCAACAAAACTAGTAAGAAACTAGCACAAAGAGACTTAATTTGGAAAAAATTAATTCCAACCAAAGAACTTCGTAGGTAACCAAGAATTTATTTATATAAAAATAAATAAACAAGAAAGGGTTTCATAAACCTGAGATTTTAACCCAACACAAGAAAAGAGAAGAAGGAGAATAAATCAGAGTCGTGTGATACTTACACTTTCCTTAAAACCGAGCCGTTACCTCCCGAGGGTGCTAGGAGCATTGTAGTCGGCAGTCTCCCAATATTAAACTAATTACGACTTTAGTGTTTGAACAGACAAACCTAAAGTCCGACGAACTAGAACCAAAGTCGAGCACTTAGATGTTTTATCAGAAGTGTGGGCAGAATTTTCAATAACAAAACGATTTTCGTGGAGAGAGGATGAGAAAATCAACAAAAATTTTGATTAGTTCAAAAGCCAACCACTTAAAAATTTGCCCAACACCTAAGTGTTTATATAAGGTATCGAAATAAATAGAACTAATGAATGTCACATAATCCAATTTAATAATCGGATTATAACGTTTGAAATGGTTATACTTATTATCGAAATAATACCAACAGTTATGAAATTAATATACAATTAATTCGTACTGTCCATTAATAACATGTTTTAAAACATCTAAGTGGCCAAAAAATCCGTATGAATGAAATGTTAACGTTTCGAAACTGACCGAATAGTCAGAGCACCATTCGATACTGCAAGTTATAATAATCACGATCATTCGGTGCTGCTAACTTTTCAAAAGTACTTCACATAAGTGCTGCAGTTAGCACTAAAGCTTTCAAAGCTTTAATTGAAGCTAATGGTGCCACCTTTCATATTAAAGCACAGAAGTGCTAGATTACCATTCGTGAGTGCTAACAAATTAGCATTATTCGAATCTTTGACTTCACTTATATGTTCATTTTGAGAGTCAATTTTTCATTCACCTATTACTTGTTTTGAGTGTACAATATATCAATTTCTTTGTCTCATTACAAAGAGTTTAAATTCACTTTGACCCGATCTAAATTGGAAGTAGACCCACTTATATTTGTACACAAAATAGTCACTTTAATTGTTATTTTATGCTAAAAATTCCAACATTTATTGTTAAAACTCTTATTTTAGTGTTTATCAAATATTATTATTTTTCTTTAGTAGCATGGTCTTTAGTTCTTTCCTTGTATAGCTTATGGAAAGATGTCAGTCTCTATGCGTTAGGGTTTTAGTAGTATTTATACTGGCTTTGGGTTCAGAAGGAATTTGCACAGCATAGAGTGAATACGTAAAGTACTAGTGTTGATCTGTTACTCAAGGTATATGCTTTATTAGTGAGACTACAATCCGTCCTTAAAGTTTTGATTAGAGTGGAGTCTGAGGCAACTGGTGGGTCCACTTTTTCAAGGCACAAGGGATTCTACGTCACGAGGGGCTTGTGATCATCAATTTCTAGCGGTACTTTAGAACAATATTAATAGATACCTGGAGTAGGTGATCTTATTGTGTAAAAGTCTATGTCTTTGTACTTCAACATGCTTAGTAAATTGATCTTAATATGAACTTGTGCCCCGCGGATTCAACTGCGTTAAGATCTTGGTGTCAACTTGCATTTATTTTATCTATTATTTATCTGTTGTGTGTTACATACTTATCATCAGACCTTAGTCCCTCAATCTTGTATGCATCAGTTAATCTGCCTCTTCATAGTTTGTGTGCATTGAGTATATAATTTCACATTCCCCTTCGTACCTCGATTTAAATCCATAAACCAGATGCCACCGGCCTTAACTTAGAGTGCAGAGCTTAGACAACAAGACAACTCAAAAACGATATGGGAGATTATGGATTTGAACCCTAGTGGGAGCGGTATTGACTCTTTGTCCTTTAGTAAGTTGAGAAAATACATATGAATAGATATTACATTGTAACATAATCAGTAGTACTAAAAAAAAGTTTAAAAGTATCATATTTGAACAAATAAGATTTAAAAGTATTCATACTAAAAAAAAAAAAAAACCTCCAAACTTTTGTTTATTCAACAAACAACTCTAATAGTTTATTTATCCATTAAAAGTTATAAGGTTCTTTTTAAGGCATTGTCGAAGAGAGCTATTGAAATCTTTTTTTTTTTTTTTTTTTTTGAATGCTACTAGCTCTATTACAATGTAGTATCTGTTCTTATACTTTCTCAACCTACTGAAACACAAAGAGCTAATAACGCCTCCACTGAGGCTCGAACTCACAGTCTTCCAAATGGAAGTCCAACCCGGGTACCATTGGACCACATAGTCCTGGTGAGCTATTGAAATCTAATTATATAGTATCATACTAATTGGCCTACATATTTAATAAATATATCTGATGAATACCGAGTATCGGAATTCGATTGGACCACCTAGCCCCGATCGGACCGTCTAAGCCACCCCATAACCCCCAAAATAAATATCCACTAAACCAAAGAAATGAGTCATTATTTCCCTATTTAATCCTAATAACTATCATATATATATATATATATATATATATATATATATATATATATATATATATATATATATTTTGGTGCAAAAAGAGGGATTACTCCCGGGTGTGAAACTAGTGATCAACTCCACGTTGGAAACAAGCTCCACTCTTATCCTCTCACAGCAAGATCTGCACTGGAGTTGGTGGAGATTCAATACTCCGATTGCCCAAGGTGTGGGCAAGGGCAGAGGCGGCTAATAACTATCCTATTAATTACCCATAATAAAGCCTCATATTAAAACCTCTTATTCGTCTTCCGTTTCCTCATAAAAACACCCCTCCCGTTTCAATTAATCTTCCACTTACTACATGTTAATGCCAATAGTAAATCCTTATTAATGATCATTATTTCTCCCCCAACGTCTATAATCTGTAGCTATAAAAAGGGAAGGATGAAGAGCAAAGGGGGGTCACATATTATTCTCCAAACATCACTCTTACCATGTCACTCTTCCCATATCACTCTTCTTCACACAAGAAGACTCCATTTTCACCACAAGGAAGGCTTCATTCTCTGAAGAAGAATATCCCATCGTTATGTACAAATATAGCTGCATTCTTACACAAACATGTACACAATCTCCTACAAAAATAGTGAATTTCCTATCTATTTTTTTTATATTCGATCTACTTTCTAGCAACACAAATCATTCATCTTTCTACTTTATTTTCCCGGTGAATCCACCAATCTTCCGGTTGTGTTGGACCTTCATGGGTTTCCTAAAAGTCCCTAAAACCAACAATATCGTTTAGGCAAAAATTTGTGTGAGATCTTTGTGACCCATTTGAGTTGGAAAAATTGAGTTGGGAAGACTTTGAATGAGCCTTTGTTCCACATTAGAAAGAGATATGAGTTTACACTAGTATATATATAATTTCCTGCCAAACACCTTGTGCTCAGATGACACCCGGGTTGGACTCCCATATGGAAGATTGTGAGTTTGAGCCTTAGTGGAGGCGTTATTGGCTCTTTCTTTTAGAAGGAGTTTAAATTTTTTAACATACAGCCTCTCTCACACACGTAAGGGGGCTGCAAATCAAAATTTAATATGATTAAATTACCAATTGTGGGAGTTACGAATTGAATTTAAATTACTTGCTTCATGCATGTAGCATGTTTTGGTTGCTGATTTGAGAATGCCATAACTCTATTTTTTCCTATCTCAAAAATATTATTTCTTTGTTAAAAAAATATGCCAAACACTTCGATTAAATTTACACAGTGCTCAACTCATTTAAGTTTAACTAGTATAAAACAGTTAATCCGTGACCATTGTAAAGGACTTTTCGTGACTATTGTACAAGGGTCGCAGATACTGGGGCTGTGAGTCTTGGACTTTCTACAACCATTGTGAAACAGTCACAGAATGTTGAGCATCCGCGCGCGACCGTTCTTAGTAAAGATAGTCACGGATTATAATTTTTTTTAATCTTTACTTTTTGCGATCGGTGCAAATTTTGTTTTTATTTTTATTTAAAAAAAAAAAGGTATCTGCAACCCTTTCTAGGTTGAAAGGGTCGCAATTATATTACTCTTATTAATTCGTAGGGGCATACATGTCTTTATACTCGTTATTCTTTATAATTCCAAATCTAACCAAACAACAGAATTAATATTCCCATTAATTCTTTTTCTACCAACCAAAAAATAAAATTCATCTTCCTAGTAATTTTTTTTGTATGAAATTTCAATTCCATTTTCTTTAAAATATTTTCCGCGAACTAAACGAGCCCGAAGCCTGTTGGGATGATTCTTTTAGAAAAGAAAGTTGAGGAAAAGCCTGAAGAAAAAGCCCTGAAAGTTGCAGCTCCTCAAAACAGCAACCAGGGATCTCTTCTAAGAGCATCCACACTTGTGCATATTAGGGGAAGATTTCAGTATTAATTCTTCTCAATGGGGATAATAACAAATGTGGGGTGGGGATAATTGTGGAGATATTTATTCTGCAAAATTGGGGAGAATGCAGAAAAAGAAGAAAGAGAAAGAAAAGAAAAGAGAAACGCGCACAGCAGCTCGCCCACACGGGCGCGTGCCAAGCACGCGCCCGAGGGCACATCAGGCGCGCCTGACAGTTTCTTTTTATTTTTTATTTTTTTTTTCGTTTGTTTTTTAATTTTAGTTTTTTTATTTTTTTTTCTCCCTTCCCCACATTCTCTCTCCTAATCACTCTTACATTATCCCCATATTCTTCCCAACTAATGTGGATGCTCTAAGGAAAAAGTACAAAAGAAACAGGTTTTGTTAGAGAAGAAAGTTGACGATGATAAGAAAACAGAACACATGTCCGTCGTAGAATAAAAGAGAGGAGGGAAGATTGAGCATTGAGATCTGTGTATATTTTAATTTTTTTCCGTAACCGTTCTAAGTGGAACGGTTGTAGAAACTACCAGCTTTTTTTTTTTCTTCAAATCGCGACTTTGTTTTACTTAGAAACGGTTGCGGATTCTTATTCAAATATTTATAATTTTGCCGCTGTGAGTATTTTTTTTTTTTTAAATACATCACCCTTCTTTTCAGAATAGTTGTGAAAAGTCAGTCTCCTTTGTTCATTTTTGTACTAGTGTTTGTTGAAAGCATTATATTTGATTATTTGAGTGCTCAAATATAATGTTGTAATTCATTTTATCTTCGTAGACAGACTCTACAACACTCCTAGCATCATCCGGAGATGGCGAATCATAGCGAATCAGTTTTATGAAAAGTGTGCGACACGACTTAAATTTTTGTTTTTTGGAATTATTTTCTCAGAAATTCGAATCCTATTGCTTTTACTATTTTATTTGATTTTATTGATTTATTCTTTCTACAAGAAACGATTTCAGGTTGTAATTGATGAGAACCAAATTTTCTAGGGTTTTTCTCTCGCTCTCTTTCGCGAGAATCTTTGTAACACCCCCGATTTTTACCACATTTTTAAAACTTAAATTCAAGGAAAACATCTAATCATCAAGACATAAAGCAAGCGGAAGCTACATAAAATCGGTAAGTGTTATGCCACACATATCTCAAATATAGGTGCACAGGCGGGAAAACTATCAAGTCAACAAAACATAAAGTATCTAGGCACACAGGCCGCTACACTAGGCTCACAGGCCGCTACACTAGGCTCACAGGCCAACAAAGGATAACGTCTAAACATGGTAGCTAATCTATCTAGCGATCCACATCTAGCGCTCTCAGACATCTACTCAAAACCTGTAGAACAAGGGAATAACATGGGGATAACACCCGGCTAGCGAACCTTGTTGGTAACCCATCAATACGCATTAAATAGCATATATAGATAAGTATAAATCAAAACCATTTCGAAACGGAATATAGTATATATCATTTCAAAACCATAGAGAGAAGTCAACTTCAAAGACTCATCAAACACTCTCAAAGAAATGGGAATTACCATCCTCACAACAACGACAAGACATCAAACATGAAAGACAAACAACTCAGGATGCATTCTACTGATCACAAAGTAGAATACATCAAGACATGCTCATAAGCAAAGAATCACATTCACACGGTGACAACTACATGCCACAAGTTGCATAGTTCCAACCTTATGCCCTGTTCCAACCTTATGGCTACCCCCGGCCTTATTTCAGTTCCAACCATTACCTCCGAGTAACCCCTGTATTTCTGAGTCCAACCTTATGCCTCCAGGGACCGTCGTCCCCCCACCTACATTCACCCACATTTCCACCTACATATTAGTATGCGAGGGTACGATTCATTTCACACAACCACCTACATGTGAGCAAAGCTCAAGTAACAACCACCCACATTTAAATCCTAGTCACACAAGTCATCATCATTACCAAGAAGACTAAGGCTCAATCAAGTATCAACAAAAGGAACAACGAATTGCACACGTTCACATCATAAGAACAAATCAAGAGATCACAATGAAGACATGAGCCCATACTCAATCAACAAAGGATTACAATTCAACACCAAATGATTGTCAACACAAGTTGCTAATCCCAATGAAAAGGAATAAACCACACATACTAGCATTTCAACATCAAACTAGCATGCTTATCAAACGGGTAAACCAAAAGTAGTTCTAAAGAACATTCAAGACTCACAATTAGCCCAATGAATCGCAAAGTTGGACCCTTAGCACAATTTAAGACACCAAATCCTACATGGATTCCTAACATACTGTTCTAGACATACGAAACATCAAGAAGACTCACAAATATCCCAATAAAACAACATCGGGAGGTCAAAACATCAATACCGAGTCAAAAGAATCACGGGGAACAAATTCCCGCCAATAACCACACACGTTCCCCGCGGGTGGGGCCACGGGTGGACAACCACCCGCGGTTCCGCCCTCGGGTAAATGCCCATGAGACCACTTGTTCCCCGCGGGTGGGGCGGCGGGTAGGCCTCTGCCCGCCGTTCTGCCCGCAGGTACACCCTATACTCCAAATCATCCCTTCGAGGATATTCAACAAGTCCAAATTCAAGTCCAAAACACCCAAAATCTCTCACACAATAACAATATGACTTGAACCCAAGAAATAGCCAAGCAATGGCATTCAAGAACTCTAAGAACAAGCTCTAAACATGCATCACCACAAGACAATGCATAAAATCTCACAAATCAACACAAGAATCACAAGTAGAAGCCAAGAAATCATCATATAAGTAAGAAAATAGGTTTTGTAAAGCATAGGTTACTTCCTTCGCTTAACCATCCAAAAACAACGTCAACATAGGATCAACTCATAAAGCCATGCTACCAGGAACCTGTGGATTAAACCGGATCTTCACTAATTAACAAAAGTACTAATTATAACTAATTAGTGCTTATAAAGGGGATTTGAACCCTAATCCCTCCTTAAATTACCCACAAGTATAACTATCTAAGCTAGGCATCCTATCATTACACTAACCATAACATTATTGTACTAATGAATAACTAGTAACCAAGCTTAAGGGATAGAACTATTAATGAAAACTAATAAGCAAAAATTAACTAATTAAGCTAAGGTGAGAGTTAAACATACACATATACACTAAAGCTAGGGTTGTTAATACTAGGTTGGGCTTAGGCTAGACTTGGGTTGGGTTGGGTTAAAGTTCAAGACCACACTTTGGGTTGGGTAACTCTTTTTGGACCAAGGGTCATACAAAGTATATAAATATATTTTGGGCTTACAATAATAGGTAAACTTTAGGTAATTAAAATCTCTTTTGGGCGGAGGCATTTGGATACAAAAATAATAGTTCATATAATAAATAGACCAAAGCCCAGTTTTAAACATTAAATAGCTATATAAATATTTTTAATAAAAATATTTAATATCGGGACTATAATTTATTTTAGGAAAATACGAGGTGTCACAATCTTCTTCCCTACGCTACTAGGGTTTTGCATCTTTCACGCTTGGTTTTCATGGCTTCTGACACCGATAACGCAATCACGCACATGTGTGCGAACCTAACACTCGCAGATGTCGACGACGAAGATCGCTCTATGCAATTGCCGAACGTCCATGTCAACACAGAGAACGATGAAACAAGTTATTATGCAGTTTGCAGGATTGTCACTAATAAGCCGGTCAAATTTCTTTTCTTCCAATATAATATAGCGTCTGTTTGGCAGCCAGTAATGGGGGTAACGATGAAACAGCTACAGCCACAACTGTTCCTCCTTCGTTTCTATCATGAAACTGATTTGAACAGGATAGTAGGGGATGGCCCATGGACGTATGAGCAACACTTGATAGTCTTGCAGAAGATAGAAGCGGGTGATGATCCAAAAACAGTCCCACTCAACCATGCCGAGCTCTGGATACAGATACATTCCTTGCCGGCCGGTCTCAGGTCTAATGCGGTCGTCTCAGCTATTGGTTCTTTTCTGGGCAAGCTTGTTCACACTGATGGCAAGAATTTTGGAGGGTCATTGCGAACATACTATCGTGTTCGGGTATTGCTTGATGTCACCAAACCCCTCAAGAAACAGATGAAATTGAAGAAGGATAATGACACATGGGTTGTTATTGATTTTAGGTATGAAAGGTTGTCAACGTACTGTTTTATTTGTGAAGTAATAGGCCATGGCGACAGGGTTTGTCCAAATATTGCGCTTGGGTTTTATCTAAAGTCAGAGAAGCCATATGGATCATGGGTGCGGGCAGGCTCACGCAGAAACGCTCCTTCAGTTGGCCAAAAGTGGGTTGCACCAGAACTAGATGTTGAGCATAAAGAATGGAAGGCGTCGGGCATGTCACTAACTGATGCTACGTTGGGTAGTGAAGAGCAACCTGTGTATGTGGCAGCTGATTTGAAACGGAAAAGGGTGGATTCGGGCACTAAGAACCTGTAGGGTGACATGGAATGTGATGATGGTATCTCAAAACACGGCCATACGGCGGGATTTGCGTCGCAAGCCCGCCAAGAAATATGAGTCAGTTATCTTGGAATTGTCGGGGGCTTGGCAACCCTATGGAGATTCGAGTATTAGCGGACTTAGTTCGCACAAAGCGGCCAAGAGTAGTGTTTTTGATAGAAACTTTTGTTGACAAGCATAGAATGAAACTTGTAAGAGTACAACTTGGTTTTGAAAATGTATTTACAGTAGATGCAGTGGGGCATAGCGGAGGTCTAGCAATGCTTTGGTCCAACACTGTTAATCTTCAAATAAATTCTTATTGCATTAACTTTATTGACACATCGATAAGCCAAGATGTGAGAAGTCCGGTGTGGCGTTTTACGGGGTTTTATGGATATCCCAATTCCCGAGAGATCACGAAGACGAGAGGCGCGACAGATGTTACGCAACCTAGCAGGGCAGGGCTCGGTGCCATGGGTGGTAATGGGGGATTACAACGATCTAATGGACCAAACTGAAAAACGGGGACGTGCCCTGCACCCGCCGTGGATGATTAATGGCTTTTGTGACGCAGTGGCTGATTGTGGTTTGTAGAACTTCCCCTTTGATGGAAACCAGTTTACATGGGTATGTTCGCGAGGCACCCTAAATATGGTAGAAGAGAAGCTTGACCGGATTCTGGTGATAGATAATTGGCTAACTATGTTCAAGGGAGCTATGACTGTCTCGCTTGTTTGTCCATATACCGATCATATGGCGCTGCTTCTGACTCCAGTGGTGACGGCGAATGTAAATCACCGGAAACGCTTCCTTTTCGACAACATGTGGTTGAGGGAGGATAGATGCCGCGAGATTGTGTCGCAAAGCTTGGACCGAACGGTAGGCTTGGACGTTCTGGAGCGTATTGACCATTGTGGTTATGAGGTTTAGCCGTGGGGAAAGACTTTCAATAGGGACTTCCAGCGTCGCATTGAGAGTTGCAGGAGGAGGTTGGATTTTATACTTGGTCGGCGAGATGAGGATAGTGTGGCTGAGTATGGTCATACGGAGAGGGAGATGCTTCATTTGCTAAAACAACAACACTCTTTTTGAAAACAACGAGCGAAGGAACACCGGTATAAAGGCGGGGACTGCAATAGCCAATTTTTCCATAACTCGGTGAAATCGTGGAAGAGGAGGAATATAATTTTGAAATTGAGAGATGAGGCTGGAAACTTGGTGGACACAGAAGAGGATATTGGCCAAGTCATGAAGGATTACTTCCAGAATTTGTTTGCATCTGAGCAGGGGGATATGGCTGAGGTTGTAGCAAGTATCACTGCCAGGGTAAAATCTCAGGAAAACACAAGGTTGCTTCGACCAGTGAGTATGGAGGAATGCCGTAAAGCCGTGTTCCAAATGCATCCGGACAAGTCGCCGGGGCCGGATGGCTTAGGCCCGGGGTTTTTCCAATTTTATTTGGATATTGTGGGCGAGGCGGTAACGATTTTCTGTAGAAACTTCATTCAAACTATGAAACCTACATAGTTTTGATCCCAAAAGAGCCAGTGCCGGTTACGATGAAAGACTTGAGACCAATTGCACTATGTAATGTGGTCTACAAAATTTCTGCAAAAGTCTGTGCAAACAGGCTAAAACCACTTCTTGAGGGGATTATATCGCATGCTCAAAGTGCGTTTATTCCCAGGAGGCTAATCACGGATAATATAATGTTAGCCTATGAGGCTCACCATTATCTACGCCGGAAAACTCAAGGTAAAGAGGGGGTGGTTGCATTGAAGGTAGATATGAGCAAGTCCTACGATCGGGTAGAATGGACTTTCCCTGAGGCTGTAATGATTAAAATGGGTTTTGACAGAAGGTGGATTAATATTCTAATGGAGACGGTTCGATCAGTGAATTATCATATTCTATATGAATAGCAACAGTTGGGCCCTATTCAACTGGGACACGGGTTACACCAGGGAGATCCGCTATCACCTTACCTATTTCTGTTAGTTGTGGAGGGGCTGAGTGTTATGATTGATAAGTATATGAATATGGGGCATTTGCATGGCATCCATGTAGCTTGGGGAGCACCACCAATATCTCACTTATTGTTCGCGGATGATTGTTTTCTATTTCTCCGGGCGAACTCTAAGGAAACGCAGTGTATGAAATATGTGTTGGATACTTAGTCTACAGCTTCAGTCCAATGCATAAATTATGAAAAGTCCATGGTATGCTTTAGTGCAAATGTTACTTTAACAGCCCGTAATGTAGTAACTCAAACTTTTTTGAGTAACGGAAGGGGACACGACTGGCAAATATTTAGGTCTCCCGTCGCTAGTGGGGAGAAGAAAGACGCAGATTTTGGGTTTTTTGAAAGACAGAATCCTAACAAAGGTGCAAAGTTGGAATGCCAAGTTCCTCTCTCGAGCTGGGCGAGAGGTACTGTTGAAAAACGTCATCCAAAAATGCCTAGCTATGCGATGATGGTTTTTCTGCTGCCCGAAGGTTTGTACAGGAATATTGAGGTTTTAATGAATGAATACTGGTGGACTGACACAGTGGGTAATGGAAAGGGCCTGAGATGGAGGTCCTGGAATGGTCTGTCACGCCCAAAGGGTGCAAGAGGATTGGGTTTCCGGTCCTTGAGGGAAATGAATCTGGCATTATTGAGCAAGCAAGCATGGAGGTTAGTCAAGAATCCTTTGTCTTTGGTTGCTCAAATTTACAAAGCCCGTTATTATCCAAATAGTTCCTACTTTGATGCACCAGCAGGAAGTAACCCATCCTTTATTTGGAGGCCAAGGTTTACTAGAGGTTCAGAATGTCTTGCGAGAAGGATGTAGGCGGAGTATTGGCAATGGAATGGAGATGGTGATTGGAAGGCATGCTTGGCTGCCCTCGGTTGATGAACCTTACATCACAACACCAGTGTGTGAAGCAGTTTTTGAATCGTGTGAAGCCACGTTGTTTAATGAACAAGGAACGGGTTGGAATGTGGATCGTGTTCGGCATATTTTTTATGCCCGGGATGCCAATTTAATTTTGAATATTCCAATTTCTGTCCGAAAGCCACAGGACTCGTGGTACTAGGTTTGGGAGCCAAAAGGGGACTACACTGTTAAGTCATGCTACCGGCATTTGAAAGGTGAGGTTCAAGATGCCAGACCTTGGACTTGAATTTGGAATCTTGATGCACCCCCGAAAGTCAAGCATTTCTGTTGGCAACTAGCTTCTTCCTTTCTGTCAACTAGAGATGCCCTCCAAACAAAAATATTCATTGCAATTTAATTTGTCATATTTGCAAGACGGACTCTGAAAATGCTTACCACCTTTTTTGTCCGATGTACAGAAGTGGCTAATGTTTGGAGGCAGATTGGATTGCCAGCGTCGGGTGTGGATTATGGTAATGTCATCGATTGGTTTTTTGCATTCATTACTAATTTGAATGGGGAAACTTTAAACAAGCTTAAGTATGTTATGGCATGCTGGGGGTAATGACAAAGTCGAAATGATAGTGTTTGGAAAGGAATAACTTTTGATGCAAATATAATGTTACGTCGTGCTGTTTCTTTCTGGCAAAACTGGACTTCTGTTAATGTTAAGGACCATGCAGGAAGCATGACTGGTCTGTGTGAACAGTGGAAGCCGCCAATGTTGGGTCGATTGAAGCTGAATACGGATGCATCCCTGAACACTACAGCAAACTCAATGGGATTAGGCTGGGTTCTTAGGGATCATGATGGTGTGTTCTTAGAAGCAAAGAATATATGGGATCATGATGGTGTGATCATGTGAATGCTTTATATGAGTTTTAATTTTCTCAAGGGAATGTAAAATTGTGCAAGTAGCAACTCTGAAGTCTCATTGTTGAGAGATATTTCTGAATAAATATGAGCTCGAACATATTCCTTGTGTATGAGATTAATTTCTTATAAGAATATGATGTGAAATTTGTGATTATGTTGTTCAAATTGATGTAGCATGTGGACAACATTATTTCTATGGCTTACTAACAATGAGCATTTGTATATATATTATTTAAACTCTTGGTTGAGTCATATTGAAATACCTATAATTCCTAGTTAAAGGGTAATTGTGATCAATTGAGATAACCAAGTTTGTTGAAATACATTCAACTGTTGAGCATGTATCAGGCAGAGTGCAAAGTTTCTATAATGGTCCACAAAGTAAGTCGGCAAAACTCAGTCTACAAAGGAGCTAATGATGGGCACCAAATATCAGTCTGGTAAGAGATAAAATACATTTGACAAAAATATTTGTAAGTGTTGCGTGCCTTGTGGGGGTAATAAACTCCTATATTTTCATCAAAAGTTTTTCTGTGGCATTGAGAGTAATGATGAAAGAGGATGTTTCATGTTAAACATGAAAATCTCAAGGGATTATTTACGAGTAAACGAAGTACTCGTCAAAGTGCATGTAAGTTTGATCAAGAGAATCAACTTACTTGATGGCTAATTATGAGGATTAGTCGCTGACTCATTGGAAGGACTTAAAGTCCAAGTGGTATAATGAATTCGTGGTAGATCCCACTTCTGTGGTCAAACGAAGCCATGAAAAGAGTTACAAAATAGTACACTAGTTGGTCATTCTGATAGTGTACTGTGTACTTGTGAGGTTTAGCTATATCTCTTAATGAATTCATAACTCTTTGAGAAATGGTGGTTTTGTTGAGACAAACCTAATGAATTCACCGCATAATGACATGAGTACAAAGTGCTCTTGTGCCTTCTACTCAATTGGGATGGTCTATGTTGAGATAGACCTAAAGAGATCCCTAACTTGAGTGGAAAAGGGCTAACCGCCTCTTATGAAAGACAATGGGGTTATCCCAAGAAGCCGAGTGGCTAAGAAACATGGTGATAACCGTGCAATTGTGGGGGTGTCCAACACCTTCACCACATTGTAATTCACAAACTGTCATTTGCGTTGCCAATAATAGTGCCTATGATAGAAAAAAAAGACTTACAACTGATTTATGTATTTAACTACTCTATAAGCCTTTAATGGTAGTCTATACTAAGATAGACTTGGTAGAGTTAAAAGTCTATATTGAGATAGACTTGATAAGACATAAAACCTGTAATGCGGTAAGACTTGTCAAAGTTAAAAGTCTATATTGTGATAGACTTTGACAGGGTAGAAGTCTATATTTGAGACAGACATAACATTCTTTAATACTAAGGGTGTTCATAAGAAGTCAAAGAGTTTGACTTTTGTAGAACCTGCTTTTTGAGTTGGTGTGTGCATTCGAGTTAAAAATTTATCTAACCAGTGAGTTCAAGATTCATATCACTCTCGGGAAGAAAATTACTCAGTGTCACTACGTGTCAGTTCAAGTTCTTAAACACTGACATTAAGATCAACTCATTTGTATTGCTCAGACGTTGTTTCGCCTTCTACTTTGAATGTTTGGGGGATTGTTGGAAATTGTCCATTCAAAGGACGTCATTTACGGACAAAGTTGTGTGGCAGCATGAATTGCGCTAGTGTGTGGATGGGGCTGGTTGAAGGTCTCTTACCCCTGTACTATAAAAGAGGCAATCCCTCTTTTGTTTAAAAAACACACCAAAAAGGAATATCTTTTTCGTCATTCCTTTTCCATTACTAATATATATTACATAATATATATTATATTATATGAATATATAATATATAATTTCGTGCCTGCCTATTCAAGTCTGAGCAATAGTGAGGTTCGCCTACGTGATTGCTAGTGCAAGCTATCCGTAATAGGTCTGTGTAGCCTATCGAAAGCGTGTCAGGGTTCTAACTGCACCGTTACCGGGCAAATAACGCTTTTAAGGTAGTGTTATTGTAACACGGCACAGATTTCCTTTCAACTATACACCAATAGTGTCCGTGCTTCTTAAAAGGCTTCCAGATCGCGCGTTGACGTTGCAATTTTCCCCAACATTAAGTTCTTCTTTTCAAAAATAGAATTAAATACTTATTCAGAAAAAATGAGTTTTAATATACTGTACTGTAAGTTATACTTGAGGCTCTACTTTAATTTAAAAAACATAACAAAGTTTTGACACAAAAAATCTTATTTTTATTAATTAAAATATAAACGTCGTAAAATGAATACATATTGTAAAAATATCAAATCAAGGTCATTATTATTTGATAATAAGAAGAATTGATGCTCTAAATGACATTATATTGGTTATGAATTTAGGAAACTTATTAAAAGTGGCAATCTAATGATATTGTGTGTAGGAATTCACTTCAATTCCCTTCCCCTTGGTAACCTCGGTCTAAATCCATAAACTAGATGCCGTCGATCTTAACTTAGAGTGCAGAACTTAGAGGATAAGACGATCCAGAAACAATATGGGCAAACGACACATATGCATGAAATTCCATGTCCTTGTCTAAATTGCTCATAACTTCATGTTTTAACCCAATCCACACTTCCACTCCCCCATCTTTAGTATCCACGAAAAGAGCAATGTCATAGAGTGTATGACCCATGCCAATCCATATTGGCTTGCCCCACCCAAAATCAACTTCCCCAAAGGGAATGTTACATAAACTACTTATATTTAAAGTTTCAACCTCATCTTTATTGTAGTAATTCGTTGTCTTTGATCGTAGTCGGGCTACTATTGATCTTAAAAACCCACCTTTAGTGTGCATTTCCCTCACGTAGTCGTTTGTAACCTTGTCGATAGCTTCCACGACTCTTCCTACAAGCGACCGGGCAGTAACCGGTCCGCCGGCGACTTCCCACACGGACTCAGTCCCTTGGATGATGTTGCCTAGGCAGTGCGAAGGTAAGGGCGGGTCCAACTTCTTTCGCAAGTTCACATAATGTGAGAGCAAGTGCGTCTTGAGGATTGGGTTCGCCACTAGAGTTGCTCTTATCACTGCCGCCCATACGAACGCCGACAGCGCCTCCACTCGAGATGGTCGCCGGCGGTGCTCCGATTGGCTGTACTGCTTCCTGATCCGCTCCATATCCTGCTTGCTAAAAACAAATCTTTTCGAGGTGTATTTTTCGGAATTCTTCTTCATTGTCCCCACGAACAAGGTGCGCACTACCTGGAAAGTGTTGAGATTCCCCGGCGAGAAAATCGAGCTGGCGTCCACGACGAGACCGCCGCCGGAATCCCCCCGGCCCCGGTTGATTGTGGCCCAGGTGTTGAAAAATCCGGCCATCCCAATCGCGTCCACCACCCCGTGCCAAGTGCAGAACGCCACCGCAGTTCCGCCGCACCGGAACCTGTTCACCTGAACAGCTAACATTGGCATGCCCGGATCAATAGCGTCTGGGTACGGGTCACGCGGAAGCAGCCGCCGTAGATCTTCCAGCTTCGGGAGGCGCCGGAAAAACTCACCCAAATCGTAATTCCCAACATTAGCTCGGACAAAATCCGCGCCCTCATCGTTGGATTCGATCGTTGATCCATCTTTAAGTCTTCCGGCGAGCGGGTACAACACGGACAATGTCTTAGAGAGCGATTCCCTGAGCTCATCATAATCGTGGCGACGAGAGCCGGCGGCGGAGTCGTAGAACAAAATTAGCGGGGTATAATAAGGTCCGGCAAGTACGTCAAGGAGAGAAAGCTTGTGGTATCTCAAGGTTTGGGGAGTTGGTGATGATGGCCTCACTTTCTCTTTTTGATAAACTTCAACTTTCAGGGTCATAATTATTATTTATTAAGGGCATGGGTTTCAAGCTTCAACAAATTTCATGGCCACTTATGGTTACGGATGCTCTATTTAAATCCCGCAAGCTGGATAACTTCTGATGCAATCCTTTCCTTAAAAGGATTAAATAAATAATATTGTCGTACTGGATCGAGTTACAAAAGAAAACAAATAAAGAAAGAATATTAAAACGTACGCATGTTGCCCGATATGATGGAGTTAGTTTTTAATAATTATATTATTTATAAATTTTATATAGTACAAAATATATATGATATTCTAATAATTTCTTATTATAAAAAAATTATGTACGGAAAGTTGTATTGAATTTTACTTTATACTAAATTAGTCTTGGAGTTAAATAAAAAGAAGCATTAACTAACTTGGTTGGTATGAGTGGTCGTGCACTATTATCCATTAAGAGAGGTCGGATTTAGAACCAAAAAATTAATATGGTAAGTACTTTACCCCTTAATTGGGCCGGTTCGGTGCGAACGGCGATTAGTTTGAGTATCGTACGGTTTTAAAGGTGTCTCCTACAGTTAGGGCCTACTCAGGACATCTCCAATAGTTATGCTGTGCAACCGAATGTACCATGTGCATGGTGCATACGATGCAAAACGACGTCGTTTTGACTAAAAACGCGCGTCCCACTTTAAAAAAAAAAAAAAAAAAAGATCCAGGTTCAATTCTCGGCAATAGCATTATTGTGGATATATAGTTATGAATTTCTGGATATATAGTTATAAATTTGTGGATATATAGTTATGAATTTATGGATATTTAGTTCATTCATTGTGGATATTTAGTTCATTCATTGTAGACATTTACTTCATTTATTCACTGTGGATATATAGTTATGAATTTCTGGATATATAGTTATGAATTTATGGATATTTAGTTCATTCATTGTGAATATTTAGTTCATTCATTGTGGATTTTTACTTCATTCATTCATTCATTGTGGATTTTTACTTCATTCATTTACTGTGGATATATAATTATGAATTTGTGGATATGTAGTTATGAATTTCTGGATATATAAAAATGCTATTGCCGGGAATCGAACCTGATTTCTTCTTTAAGTGGGACGCGCGTTTTTTTAACCAAAACGGTGCCGTTTTGCAATCGTATGCACCTTGCAAGGTGCATTCGGTTGCACAGCATAATTTGCGGGACATCTCGTGGTATGAACAAAAAAAAAAAAAAAAAAAAAAAGAAGCACTCACTTGTAAGATTCAAAAAATATCATGGTGGTACAAAGAGATATCTATCAAAAAGCTACGGAGACAGAACTCAATTTATGGGTATATATAGGCAAGAGACACCTAAAATCTAGAGTGCAAATTGATGTTGGTACACACTAATTTTGAATTTGAAAATTTTAATTAAATGTAGTCAGCACAACAAATACTGTAATTGGCTTTCCAAAGGTATTAGAATATGCATCTACTAAATTTTACACTAAATGTAATATAAATTAGTAAATACAAGTTATGTGTGTTTCTTCAGGTTCCCGTGGATAATATATTTATTTTGTAAATGCAGGCCATGTGTGTTGTTTCTTACGAAAAAATAATACGGAGTAATAATTTATATCTCCAAATATATATATATTAATTTCAATAGCATTGATATCTCAACTATCGTGGATCAGTGCCTACCTTATATGGTAGACCCTCGTCCAAAACTATTTCGTTTTATATTAAGTACATGAAGTACCTGCTCTCATTTAATAACATTATTATTTACTATGGTCATAATATTTGTTCTATATGCCCATAAACCAAACCTTAATATCCAAAAACAATATACTAAATTTACATCAGAATTAATTTCACTTTTGGTCCCACGACTTTTGAGATTCTATCACTTTTGGTGAACGACTTTAAAATTTTTCAATTTTGGTGCCTAATTTTGTTATTTTTATTTTCTTCAAAACTTTGTTACTTTTATCCGCTTTTGTCCTTTCGACCAAATTGACGGTGAAATGTTGTCTGATTTTATATCTTTAGGCGTAAAATCGTCATTCCAAGGAAATATCTTCAATATCTAAACAAAATCACTGTAAAATCATATCTATAGGTGTTTGATTGACGAGAATAATGGGAAAGACGAGACGAAACTAGACACAGATCTATGAGATTTATAGCGTTGATGAGGGCAAATCCTTCTTTTTCTCTTAATATGATTTTTCTTTTGTTTAGATATTGAATATCTTTCCTTGAGATGACGATTTTGCCCCTAAAATATAAAATCCCGTAACATTTCTTCATTAATTTGTCCGAAAGGACCAAAATTGATAAAAATAACAAAGTTAGGCATTAAAATTGAACAAAATTAATGTTGTGCACCAAAAGTAATAAGACCTCAAAAGTCGTGAGACCAAAAGTGAAATTAATTTTTTTTACATCATATGTACTTTCATTTACTCTATAGTAGGTTCATAATATTCATTCTATATGTTTATAAAAGATTACAAACAGAGCTTAGTGTAGACAAGCATTATACTACCGATGCATCATGTTTACTAAAATTCATCAGGTACTATATTCATAATATTTTTTACATGTCCATAAACACAATACCTTAATATTCATAAACACTAAACTAAATTTACATCATATGTATTTCCATTCACTCTATAGTAGGTTCATATAATGTTCTTTCTATATGTTCATACAAAAAAAGCTTAATGTATATAAATATTATACCAAAGAAGCATCATGTTTAATAATGATGGACGGTATACTAGGCTTAGGCCACATGGACAAAGTAATTGGATCAAGGAATTGAAGCTCAAGAAGGATACATACTACGGAGCAACTTATGAGTTTAATAGGAATTGAGCTTAATATTCATAATACCTTCTTGGATCCTTGCTGGTTAGTACGTTCTGGCATCCACTTGTACCTAGAACCCATTAGTCCAAGCCTAGGTGGAATGTAACAATTGAAAGAATTATAATCATAAGGAATATTTTGGTAAATTTGGGCTTTTTAGGTGCATATATTTTCTGAAATTGTGGTTGAATCACATTGCTATGCACCCTAGAATAGAATTGTTGCTTATGTCTATGAAACCTCTCGAATTGTGCTTTCGTCATAGGTTCATGGACCATAAGCCAATCCTCATCAGAAGGAATTAACCTTCTAGCACCCCTCATTGTCTCCTAGTGAACCTCTGGGTTTATTGAACCTTTTGAGGTTTCCATTCGAAGAACGATTTGAAAGCAATGGACAATTATAATCTCATGAATAAAAAAAATTTCTAATTATATAACATGAGGGACTAAATGTGTCACATTATAAACAATTAAAGAATTAGATTTGTTTAAATCAATTGATAGGGGCTAAATTTTCAAAAGTAAAACTATTGAGGGGCCAAAAGCGTCGTTTTCCCTTATATTAAATATAAATATATATTTTCCAAATAGAACTATCTATCTATGATTTAAATATTTTACTAATATATATATATATATATATATATATATATATATATATATATACCTAATTATTATAAAAACAGGTTCGGGTCTATTTATTATTATAAAACAGTATTTTTCTATCCAAATGCCTTAAGCTCAAAAATGATTTTTAGCCTAGGTTCAAGGGCCATTATTATTTATTAGGGGCATGGGTTTCAAGCTTCAACAAATTTCATGGCCACTTATGGTTACGGATACTCTATTTAAATCCGGCAAGCTGGATAACTTCTGATGCAATCCTTTCCTTAGAAGGCTTAAATAAATAATATTGTCGTACTGGGTCGAGTTACAAAACAAAAGAAATAAAGAAAGAATATTAAAACAACGCATGTTGCCCGATGGAGTTAGTTTTTAATAATTATATTATTTATAAATTTTATATAGTACAAAATATATATGATATTCTAATAATTTCTTATTATAAAAAAATTATGTACGGAAAGTTGTATTGAATTTTACTTTATACTAAATTAGTCTTGGAGTTAAATAAAAAGAGGCAATAACTTGCTTGGTTGGTAGAGTGGTTGTGCACTATTGTCTATTAAGAGAGGTCAGAGTTAGAACTGAAAAATCAATGGCAAATTATGCCCTGGAAACGTGTTCATCGTGAATGGTGAACACAAGGCCAAACGACGTCGTTTTTAGGCAAAAAAAAAAAAAATTCGCGAATGTGGAGTTAACGGCGCGCGTTGATCAAATTATGAATTTTCTGTTATGAGATTATGAATTTTCATAAAATTCATAATCTCATAACAGAAAATTCATAATCGCATAACAGAAAATTCATAATCTCATAAAGTGAATTCATAATCTCATAACAGAAAATTCATAATCTCATAACTGAAAATTCATAATCTTATAACAGAAAATTCATAATCTCATGGTTCCAAAGTGAATGTGTAGGCATGGTTCCAAAGTGAATGTGCAGACATGGATTCAGAATTTATGAATGTCCGTGATTTCGGACAGGAATGTGTAGGCATAGTTCCAAAGTGAATGTGCAGGCATGAATTCATAATTTATGAATGTCCGAAATCATTGTTCACCTCAAATTAAAGTGAAACCGCAAAATGTGAAAATGAAGAAGAAAAGTCACGCAATTAATTAAGAAAAAAAAAAAAGATAATGGTGTACTAACACCGTTGGAACCGTGTTCACCATGAATGGTGAACACGGTTCCATGGCATAACGCTCCAAAAATCAATCTAGCCAGCACTTTGTCCCTTAATGGGCCGGTCCGGTGTGAATAGGAATTAGTCTAAGTATGGTACGAGTTTAAAGGTGTCTCCTACAGTTCGCAAATTATGCCCTGGAAACGTGTTCACCATGAATGGTGAACACGGATCCAAACGGTGTCGTTTTTACGGGAAAAAAAATTTAGTTAATGTGTTGTTAACGCCGCGCGTTTGTTTAGTTTATGAATTTTCTGTTATGAGATTATGAATGTACTGTAAATTCATAATCTTATAACAAAAAATTCATAATCGCATAAAAGAAAAACATTTATTAAATTATGAATTTTCTGTTATTAG